ACTTTATCTGCGAGAAATCGATCTCTGCTGAAACGATATGGCACTAATCCACATAATCAGTCTGTCTGCAGCAGGAGTCGCTCTCTCTGGTCTCGCTCTCTCTGGTCTCGCTCTCTCGATCTCTCTGGTCTCTCTGGTCTCTGACAGTACAGCTGCAGAGACAGAAAGAGCCTGTTTGCAGAGTGACCTGTCAGGACACGTCTCTGTCCTGCTCTCAGCTTCTTTCTGCTGTTATATGGTTTCAGTCGCTGAACCACTTACTCTCACTGCATAGACTTAAAGCTGGGGTACATGACTTTCCCTGTGACACTGTAGCAGGTAGCTGTACATTTCAAGGTTGCAACTTACAGCACAACTCTAAACTTCAAAAATAAATCAATAAGAAAATGTATCGCTCTCTTCCTTTTATTCATCTTAAAACATGTCATATTTAGTGTAAGAGAGATCTGTGAGCTGTGAGTCAGTATTAGCCAATCAGCTCTCAGCCCAAAGAGGTAGAGTTAGGGTGGTCTTCTTTTATCTAAAGATGTGACATCACAAATACGTGAAACTAGTGACAGAAGTAACTGTTTTAGATCCAGGACCAGAGACATGGGTTCAATGGAGTTCTGTGATCTGGAAGTGACAGGCCCCAGCTTTAGCCTGGTAGCCTAATGCATATTTAATCCTAGTTCAGACCCGGTTCAGTCTGCACAAATGGTGACTCTCACTAAAGAGGCATTTACCTTTTTGTTGATAATGTTATTTTAAGGTTAAAGTTACAGACCCCAGCTTTACACATTTGTATGGACGATACTGATGCGTCTGAAGTGTCATGTTTGAACCCGTTGCTCTTGTGAGTCTCTCTCTGTTCAAATGTCTCCCACTCACTTCCTGTGCGGTGGGTCAAAGGTCACGGACAGAGTTCTGGGCAGTTCTTCACACTGGGGGCACAAGCTGGGCCTTTAACCTGCCAACATGTGGGTCAGGAACTGCACACCAGTGACAATGTTGTCTCTCTCTCTCTGGTCTAATCAATTTAATTTATTCTCGCATTCCCTTAAATCACAGCAGTATTTATCTCAACTTAACAAAAATGTTAATCGCTGACACTGATCAGAGAATTAAACAGTTCAAATACATGGATGGGTGGAAATAGAGAATATAGAACACCGGGCCAGGCTCGGGTCCAAATAATAGGCCAGTGCAGGGCTATAACTTAAACTAGTACCTCTTAAACTCCTACATCTGTTTTGGCTCGTGCACAAAAGTTTGGCGTACCCAAATGTCTTTGCTTATTTAAAAACACATCTTACATCTCACATGCTTGTGTGATGCATCATTTTAAAGCTAGGCCCTTTTAGTTTATATAAATATACACTTCCTTTTTTTAGCCTCGCCTAAAAAATTCATTGTATAAATGCCCTAAAAAGCCTATTTAATTTGTGCCAAATTGTGCCAAACTGCTTTACTAACATTTCACCATCATAAAAAGCATATTTTTTTGGTACTTATAAGTAGAGCTGTAACTAACGATTATTTTGTAATGGATTATTTTTACGATTAATCGAGTAATCGCTTGGCTGTGAATTGTGTAGAAAATTATTTTTTCATCACAAAAAGCTAAAGTGGCAACACTCGGACGTATTGAGGCGTAAACTTAAAGTAAATGTTTGTAACAGGCTCTTTGTGCTAATTCTGCTCTGATTGGATGAGACGCAGATATTAATGAAATTATAAAAACCAAGTCGGTTTTAATCAAAAATACTACATTTTCATGTCATTTTTGCTCTGTTTGAGTCCGTGTGAACCAGAAAACGATTAATCGATTACTAAAATAGTTGTCGACTATTTCAATAATCAATTAGTCGTCGATTAATCGATTAGTTGTTTCAGCCCTACTTATAAGTCACAAATCTGTGTGATTTTCTTTTACATTTTTTCAAAATTTATGTTTTAGTGTAAATGCATATAAAATATGCGCAGCAATGTACCAGCGTCTTTACGCACGCTTTTACTGTGAAAATGAGTGTTCCTACGAGTCCCACCCATTATTTGAAAGCTCTTTTTATTGGCTACTTAGACACAATGCATTCAGGAGTCCTGCTGTCGCTCCATGAAACACACAATGGGTCAAAGGGTGAATAGCATTGAACAGACTACAGTTGAAGGAGGAGATACCATACTTCTCCAGCAGGGGGCTCCAGATGCAGCTTGACTGACACGCTATATGGGAAAAAATATCCCCCCCCCCAACTCATTTTGTCACAATATCTTTAAAATCACATTTTACACACAGATCTGTATTGTTTGCTTACCAGGGCATCTAATAGATTTACATTTCAGATCAAAAGCAATTTAATTTTAAAGTGCTTTACACATCTTTTTACAAACATTAACTAAAAATAAATGCCGATAATGCAAAACAGCACATCTTCAAATTTACTTTTGTGATATTTTCTTATTAGTCATGCTAAATTATGCTAACTTAAAGAGCACTGTTTTAAGCCTTTAGATTAAGGCATTCACAAACTGATCTGATTAATGGGCTTTAAACCAGCCAAGGGCTGTTCTTCTGAGTGATGTCACATTCTCTGCAGTAAAATATGGTCTAGGACCCAACACTGACACTTGTCCATTATCAGCAGCTAGTACCAAGTCAGACTTTGACTAGTGCTGTCTATGATGAGCTCTAAATCTTGAAATATTTCAAATATATTATTTTCTTGCACGTGGCAGCATAGTTGTTTTATCAATGAGCTTTTCAAAGAGTTTAGATATTAAAGTATGGTTTGAGACTGGTCTCTCTCTGGTCTCTCTCTGGTCTCTGGTCTCTCTCTGGTCTCTCTCGGAGACTAACACAAACACACAGCATTAACATGATTGTATGTTTCCAGTGGAGTTCAGCGACTGCACCGACAGACGCAGGTTTCTCTTCAGCAGCGAAGACTCGAAGTTCTCTGTTCAGACGGACGGAGTGGTCACGGTGAGTTGCCACAGTTTGGTACCAGCGTTTTGGTCCCTGGCCTTATGGATGTAAGATTAATGAGACCAAATGTAAAGGCGATCAGCCAATCAGCTTTGTGGGAGCCACAGAGACGTCTGCTCTGGCTCAGAAGTCTTTTGAGAAATGTATGTGGGAATAGAATAAAGATGACACGCAGAATCAATAACAAAAATGCACAAAAATCTAGGAGCAGTTTGTGTGAAGCCAAGTCGCTGTATAGAAATTGTTAAGTGCATTAACTCCAAAATGGGAAAGTACTAAATCTTTTTCTTTATCTCCAGGTGAAGCGAGCTCTGGAGCTGCACCACAGACACAAAGACTTCTCTGTCCATGTCTGGGACTCTGAGGGGAACAAGTTCACTGTCCCAGTGCGGGTGCAGAACCACCACCACGAGAACCACCATGAAGAGGGACATCAGCCTCAAGCAGAGGGTCGACAACAGGAGAACCATCATACACAGGTAATGGACCCACCAGGACCAAGGCCGCGGACCCGGGACCGAGGCTCTACAGGCCTTTCTGCTGCTTCTCTTAATATGATCTTCATCTTGTTTCTTTCTCCCTTCTGGTGTCTCCTTGGCAGACCATGGCTCCCGCTGCAGACGCTGCTCCTGCTGTCATCCGCCATCGTAGAGAAACCTCTGTAAGAATCCCATGTTTCATTGACCTGTTTCTAGGGTTGCAGAGATTAATCGGTTTTACGATTATCGCGATTATGAAAGCCTGTGGTAGGTTAACCGTAAGGATTTTAGATGACACGGTTTACTGATGGTACATAAAACAGCAGTGTGGGATCACTTTGGGAATCCAAAAGATGAGCTTGGTGTTGTTGTCGCTGATGGAATTCCACAGAGCAAAGCCCGTTGTTGGAAAGTTGCAGCGAAGGAGGTCATAATCATCCTTTTCATAGTACGTCCAAGTCAAGGTAATAAAACTGCATCATTGTCAACAAAGGTGTCCAAATGTTCAGAAATGGGCAAGGCAAGTTTATTTGTATAGCACATAGAATTGTGTAATTCATACACAAGGCAACTCTATGTGTTGAATAAACTCAAACTGTCTCGGGGTGCACATTATTGCAAAGGATTTTGTTAAATAATTTAAAATATGAGAAACTTAATTTATATATTCGTTTCCAGAGGTGATTTTTCTTTCATAATGTCAATTATCTTGAATAATCATATAATCGCAATAGATTCTCAATCATGGCTCAAAAATGTGAAATGGATGCAACCCTATTGTTTCTGTTCTTTTCATTAAGATAGACCTATATTCATCGTTTCACATTGCAGCAGAATAGAATGAAGAAAAGAACATCAGCTACTGCACATCAAACGGGGTCAGAGCTGCCACCTTATTCAGAGGGTACTGTTCCTCTGATCCTCCTGCAGGTGGTACCAGCCCCTCACTGATCCTCCTGCAGGTGGTACCAGCCCCTCACTGATCCTCCTGCAGGTGGTACCAGCCCCTCACTGATCCTCCTGCAGGTGGTACCACCCCCTCACTGATCCTCCTGCAGGTGGTACCACCCCCTCACTGATCCTCCTGCAGGTGGTACCACCCCCTCACTGATCCTCCTGCAGGTGGTACCAGCCCCTCACTGATCCTCCTGCAGGTGGTACCAGCCCCTCACTGATCCTCCTGCAGGTGGTACCAGCCCCTCACTGATCCTTCAGGCAAAGTGGGCTTAAGTTTCTTGTCCAGGGACCCAATAACATTAGTGGGAGTTGATGGTAGGTCTCGTAGGGGGATCAAAATCACCATCTGAGCTGCTGTTGCCCTGAAAATACAATGATAAAAGGGATGGTACAACCACAAAATAAAATGACGTGTGTTCGGTTCCAGGGCAGTGAGGTGATCTTCTTCCCCAAAGCCACTAAAGGCCTGAAGAGGAAGAAGAGGGAGTGGGTCATCCCAGACATCAACTTCGCAGAAAACCACAGGGGCCCTTTCCCACAGAAGGTGTCGCAGGTGAGGCTTCGGTACCCTCTGTGGTCCAGTGCCCTCGTGGTCCGGCGTCCTCTGTGCGCTGAGGGGTACCGCAAGGGTGCATATTGGTCATTGTAATTTTGAGAACTGCTCAAAATGGAGTATTTTCTTTTAACAAGTGAAACGCGTTTCAGATCCGCTCTAGTGACGACAAAGAACGTGTGATCTACTACAGCATCACGGGCCCCGGGGCCGACCAGCCGCCTAACGGGCTCTTCACCATGGACAAGTTCTCTGGCATTCTGTACGTGACGCAGCCGCTGGACCGAGAGGCCAAGGCCAACTACACCGTGAGTACAACCGACCCAGTACACCTGCTTCAGGAACTACTACTCTCTGGTCTCTCTCTCTCTCTCTGGTCTCTGTCCTTTCTCTCTGGTTGTAGTGTCAGAAAGATAGTGGTTCTGTTGTTACGGTGTAAAAGGGCGTCCCCCAGCTTTAGCCCTTGGTGCTTTTGTTTGGACAGTTCCTGGCCCATGCTGTGGCAGCAGGTTCTGGTCAGGCAGAGAAACCTATGGATATCAAGGTCATAGTGATCGACATGAACGACAACAAACCAATCTTCACTCAAAACACGTACATTGGAGAGGTGGCAGAGTCGTCCCCCATCAGTGAGTGTCCACTCCTCCACCTGCTTAGCACCTGAAGTGAGATGTTGTCATGGTAACGTGTGTGTGTGTGTGTGTGTGTGTGTGTGTGTCAGACTTCGATATCCTGCAGGTGACTGCCAAAGATGCCGACGAGGAGGACAACTACAACTCTCTGATTAAATACAAGATTATTAACCAGGAACCAAAGTCTCCAAGCAACGACATGTTTGCTATCAACCCCGTCAACGGGGTTATCAGGGTCAACGCCGGAGGGCTGGACCGAGAGGTGAGGGGGAGGGTCACAATATTATTTTTTATTTAAGCTTGTAGTGACTGCAAAAAATTTGTATTTGAAGAGGGGGAAGGGAGGGGGAGAGGTGCTGGTTCTGACTCTGTCTGGTGTGTTTCAGAAAAACCCAAAGTACACTGTGGAGGTGCAGGCTGCAGATCTGGATGGAAATGGACTCACAGGAAACGCCAAAGTCATACTGACTGTTACTGATAGCAACGACAACGCTCCTGTCTACACCCAGACCCAGGTTCACCTCCTCTCTCCTCAGTTCACAACCTCTTTTCTCAGTTCTCCTCCTAAAACCTCCACCTCCTCTCCTCAGTTCACCTCCTCCATCCCTGAGAATAAGAAGGATGCAGTGGTGGTGAAGATGCAGGTCACAGATGAAGACGATGCCCACACTCCAGCCTGGAACGCCAAGTTCACCATAGTGCACGGAGACCCCAACAACCTGTTCACCGTGGCAACCGGTACAAACAAGCAGGAGGGGATCATCACCACAGCCAAGGTACCAGAACACAGGGCCTGGATATCTGATGAGGCTTCAGCACAGACCTGGTTCCATGTGGTACTGTCTTGTCCCTAGGGTCTTGACTTTGAGATGACTCAGACCCACACGCTGGTGGTCGCCGTGGAGAATGAAGTGCCATTCGCCATCTCACTGCCCACAGCCACCGCCACGGTTGTTGTCACGGTGACGGACGTGAACGAGGCGCCCATTTTTGAGCCTGCCGTCAAACTGGTGTCGAAGCCAGAGAACCTCCCAGTGGACATGGAAGTGGTCCAGTATGCAGCCTACGACCCTGACACGGCACGCAAGCAGAAAGTCATGTGAGATTACACTTCAGTATTTATCAGAGCAAATCCTATTGAGACAGGGCCAGTGGGGGCGTTTGGGAGCACAGGGAAAAGCCATGCATTCAGTGTGTTTGTGTCGGACTGGACCTCATGGTCACTGACTGACCGGTCGTGGTGGTGAGTGATAATAGATGCTGTATTTCAGGTACCGGGTGGTGAGCGACCCGGCCGGCTGGCTGAACATTGCTAAAGAAACTGGTTTGGTGACAGTGAAGACTGAGATGGACCGAGAGTCTCTCTTTGTAAAGGACGACATCTACACCGTTCTGATCGGCGCCTATGACAACGGTACTGATCAGCCGACTGCTGATACAAATACTAGTACTACTGGCCTTACTACAAGAAACACTAATGCTACTGATACTTCTTATGATTCTAATACTGATATTTGTGACTCCTCCACGTCCGAGTTATTCTACCCCTGTGTTCTGACGACGACTCCTTCTGCTCTTTTCTTTTGACGACTCCTACCTTCTCCTGACTTCTGCTCCTCCTCCACAGATGAGCACCCGGCCACAGGAACTGGTACTCTGCAGATCAAACTGGAGGATGTGAACGACAACGGACCAACTATCGAAGAGCGAGATTTCAGGGTCAGTCCTCCTCCTGTTCTTCTCCTCTCCTCCTCCTGTCCACCTCCTCACCCTCTCCTCCTCCTGTCCACCTCCTCACCCTCTCCTCCTCCTGTCCACCTCCTCACCCTCTCCTCCTCCACAGGTGTGCTACAAAGAGCCTGGTCCTCAGCTCCTCACAGTCACAGATAAAGATGGACCTGGGTTTTCTGCTCCGTTCAAAGTTTCTCTGGAAGGATCCTCAAAGAACAACTGGACGGCACGCATGAACGAGACCAGTGAGACAGACGCACACACCGCCAATGAGACACAGACGCACACACCGCCAATGAGACACAGACGCACACACACACCGCCAATGAGACACAGACGCACACACACACCGCCAATGAGACACAGACGCACACACACACCGCCAATGAGACGCAGACGCACACACCGCCAATGAGACAGACGCACACACCGCCAATGAGACACAGACGCACACACCGCCAATGAGACACAGACACCGCCAATGAGACACAGACACCGCCAATGAGACACAGACACCGCCAATGAGACGCAGACACCGCCAATGAGACGCAGACACCGCCAATGAGACACAGACACCGCCAATGAGACACAGACACCGCCAATGAGACACAGACACCGCCAATGAGACACAGACACCGCCAATGAGACACAGACACCGCCAATGAGACACAGACACCGCCAATGAGACACAGACACCGCCAATGAGACACAGACACCGCCAATGAGACACAGACACCGCCAATGAGACACAGACACCGCCAATGAGACACAGACACCGCCAATGAGACACAGACACCGCCAATGAGACACAGACACCGCCAATGAGACACAGACACCGCCAATGAGACACAGACGCGCACACCGCCAATGAGACACAGACGCACACACCGCCAATGAGACACAGACGCACACACCGCCAATGAGACACAGACGCACACACCGCCAATGAGACACAGACGCACACACCGCCAATGAGACACAGACGCACACACCGCCAATGAGACACAGACGCACACACCGCCAATGAGACACAGACGCACACACCGCCAATGAGACACAGACGCACACACCGCCAATGAGACACAGACGCACACACCGCCAATGAGACACAGACGCACACACCGCCAATGAGACACAGACGCACACACCGCCAATGAGACACAGACGCACACACCGCCAATGAGACACAGACGCACACACCGCCAATGAGACACAGACGCACACACCGCCAATGAGACACAGACGCACACACCGCCAATGAGACACACCGCATGAGACACAGCACACACCGCCAATGAGACACAGACGCACACACCGCCAATGAGACACAGACGCACACACCGCCAATGAGACACAGACGCACACACCGCCAATGAGACACAGACGCACACACCGCCAATGAGACACAGACGCACACACCGCCAATGAGACACAGACGCACACACCGCCAATGAGACACAGACGCACACACCGCCAATGAGACACAGACGCACACACCGCCAATGAGACACAGACGCACACACCGCCAATGAGACACAGACGCACACACCGCCAATGAGACACAGACGCACACACCGCCAATGAGACACAGACGCACACACCGCCAATGAGACACAGACGCACACACCGCCAATGAGACACAGACGCACACACCGCCAATGAGACACAGACGCACACACCGCCAATGAGACACAGACGCACACACCGCCAATGAGACACAGACGCACACACCGCCAATGAGACACAGACGCACACACCGCCAATGAGACACAGACGCACACACCGCCAATGAGACACAGACGCACACACCGCCAATGAGACACAGACGCACACACCGCCAATGAGACACAGACGCACACACCGCCAATGAGACACAGACGCACACACCGCCAATGAGACACAGACGCACACACCGCCAATGAGACACAGACGCACACACCGCCAATGAGACACAGACGCACACACCGCCAATGAGACACAGACGCACGCACCGCCAATGAGACACAGACGCACGCACCGCCAATGAGACACAGACGCACGCACCGCCAATGAGACACAGACGCACGCACCGCCAATGAGACACAGACGCACGCACACGCCAATGAGACACAGACGCACGCACCGCCAATGAGACACAGACGCACGCACCGCCAATGAGACACAGACGCACGCACCGCCAATGAGACACAGACGCACGCACCGCCAATGAGACACAGACGCACGCACCGCCAATGAGACACAGACGCACGCACCGCCAATGAGACACAGACGCACGCACCGCCAATGAGACACAGACGCACGCACCGCCAATGAGACACAGACGCACGCACGCACCGCCAATGAGACAGACGCACGCACGCACCGCCAATGAGACACAGACGCACGCACGCACCGCCAATGAGACACAGACGCACGCACGCACCGCCAATGAGACACAGACGCACGCACGCACCGCCAATGAGACACAGACCCACGCACGCACCGCCAATGAGACACGACGCACGCACGCACGCACCGCCAATGAGACACAGACGCACGCACGCACCGCCAAATGAGACACAGACGCACGCACGCACCGCCAATGAGACACAGACGCACGCACGCACCGCCAATGAGACACAGACGCACGCACGCACCGCCAATGAGACACAGACGCACGCACGCACCGCCAATGAGACACAGACGCACGCACGCACCGCCAATGAGACACAGACGCACGCACGCACCGCCAATGAGACACAGACGCACGCACGCACCGCCAATGAGACACAGACGCACGCACGCACCGCCAATGAGACACAGACGCACGCACGCACCGCCAATGAGACACAGACGCACGCACGCACCGCCAATGAGACACAGACGCACGCACGCACCGCCAATGAGACACAGACGCACGCACGCACCGCCAATGAGACACAGACGCACGCACACACCGCCAATGAGACACAGACGCACGCACCGCCAATGAGACACAGACGCACGCACCGCCAATGAGACACAGACGCACACACACCGCCAATGAGACACCGACGCACACACACCGCCAATGAGACACAGACGCACGCACACACCGCCAATGAGACACAGACGCACGCACACACCGCCAATGAGACACAGACGCACGCACACACCGCCAATGAGACACAGACGCACGCACACACCGCCAATGAGACACAGACGCACGCACACACCGCCAATGAGACACAGACGCACGCACGCACCGCCAATGAGACACAGACGCACGCACCGCCAATGAGACACAGACGCACGCACCGCCAATGAGACACAGACGCACGCACGGCCAATGAGACACAGACGCACGCACGCACCGCCAATGAGACACAGACGCACGCACGCACCGCCAATGAGACACAGACGCACGCACGCACCGCCAATGAGACACAGACGCACGCACGCACCGCCAATGAGACACAGACGCACGCACACACCGCCAATGAGACACAGACGCACGCACACACCGCCAATGAGACACAGACGCACGCACACACCGCCAATGAGACACAGACGCACGCACACACCGCCAATGAGACACAGACGCACGCACCGCCAATGAGACACAGACGCACGCACCGCCAATGAGACACCGACGCACACACACCGCCAATGAGACACCGACGCACACACACCGCCAATGAGACACAGACGCACGCACACACCGCCAATGAGACACAGACGCACGCACACACCGCCAATGAGACGCGAGACGTGCGCGCACCGCCGGCAAGACGTAGGCGAGACCTGCATTGTCCTAGCCTAACTCTCCTCCCCTCCCCCTCAGAGACTGGCATCGTCCTCCTCCTGTCCACTTCCTTGGACCCTGGCTTCTATAATGTGGAACTGCGTGTGGAAGACAATGAGGGCCTGGACCAGGTGAGCACGGTCCAGGCCCAGGTCTGCTCCTGCACGGGGTCAGAGGTCATGTGTGACGGTAGGGCGGCCTCAGGACCCCCCCTCCCCATCATCCTGGGGGTGCTGGCCGGGATCATGCTGCTGCTCAGTGAGTACTGTGGGGATCAGACCACTCTGACTGTGTGTGTGTGTCTGACCGTCTGACCATGTGTGTCCAGTGCTGGTGCTGCTACTGCTGCTCTTCGCTCGTCGTAAGAACGTGGATCAGAAAGAACCTCTGCTTCAGGACAATGACATCAGAGACAACATCTACTACTACGACGAGGAAGGGGGAGGGGAGGACGATCAGGTACCACACTGCTGTTGCTGCGGAGACATTCAGGATTGTGGCTGGTGTTCTCATTACAGGTGTACAGTTTGTAGATGAACCCAACTCCAACCCCAACTGACACCGCTGTACCCTGGTCATGTGGGCAGTGGGACATTTCTTAACGTGTGTGTGTGTGTGTGTGTCAGGACTATGACCTGGGTGTGTTGCACCGTGGCCTTGATAACAGACCTGAAGTCTTCAGAAATGACGTGGTTCCAAACTTCATGCCGGCACCGCAGTATCGGCCTCGTCCTGCCAACCCAGATGAGATCGGCAACTTCATTGTCGATGTCAGTAACACACACTTACTAGAGATGCTCGCACACATCTACAGAGACACACACAGGCTTGGATCTACTCTATACTCACCTGTCTCTCACCTCTCCCCCCTCAGAACATGAAGGCCGCAGACATGGACCCCACAGCACCTCCTTATGACTCCCTGCTAGTATTTGACTATGAAGGAGGAGGCTCAGACGCGGGGTCCCTGTCCTCTCTTAACTCCTGCAGCTCAGGAGACCAGGACTACGACTGTCTCAGCGAGTGGGGCCCGCGCTTCAAGAAGCTCGCCGACATGTATGGCGGCGGCGACGATGATGACATGATCTAGACTCTACGTCCTCCACATACTGTTGGCGTCTCCTCTTACACTGTTAGCTAACACTAAAGCTAACATCAGGGACTCCCCTAAACTTTCTGCAAGTGGAGCTGCATCCCAATTCAGCACAAACACTGCTCCCTTTTCCTTTGCACCAGTTTTCTCTGTCCTGAGTGGTTCTATTGCGCAGTATTAATTGCAAACTACCCACAACAAACCAGTATCGGGGAAAATTCCTTGGTAATCTTAGTACCAGCTCAGCCTGGATAGAACCAGGACCAAGAGGGACTGGTTACACAGGACCAGAGGAGACACTCCTGCAGGGGTCATGATGATCTAAAACTAGTTGTTTTAGCCTAAATCTTTAGTTACTAAACTAGCACTTATGAAATCTGTGTTAGTTGTTAGCTTTGTTTGTTAGCTTCTTTGGCTTCTGATAAATCACATATGATCATTATAGAAATATTTATCTGGAGGAAGAAGCTGAAAGCAAAAACTCCTAAGCGACAGTTCAAACATTTAGCCACAAATGACCTAAAAATGAAGGAGAGAATTATTATTTTTTTGTGCTGAATTCTGATGCAGTGATCTTTATCAGATCAGTGGTGTGCAGAGGGACAAGGGTTCACTTCCAGGTGTTGCTGTTTCCTAAAGCCACGTTCATTAAAGGGCTGGTAACACACTGTTCTGCTGTGGATAGATTTCATTTTATTTACCATGGACTGTAATAACCCGATAGCTCAATGCATGTAGAAGAACTCCCTAACGTTTGTGTGATATCACAATTTTGGGCTTAAATCTGTGGTTTATTGCTCTGTGATCCTGCTGTTCATATGTGATATTGTCTTGTAAATTGACCAATCAGAGGCCTTCATTCAGGAGGAAACTCCAGTTTGCCTTAGCTACACATCTGCCCCTGTTACAGCACTAAGCTAACACCATTAGAACAAAGGCCCATATAAGGTCCTGGGTCTGTCCACTCAAGTTTTGTGGTATTTACGATCCTGTGCTTTATAGATGCAGATGTGAACTTCTGGTCCCCTCGCAGACCTGCAGCTGTGTTTTGCTGCGTCCATGCTGGTGTCAGCTGTTGCCACGGTTTTTTTGCGTTCACTTTTGCCCTAAACGATTTCGTTGCAGGTTGCAGAAGTGAAGCAGATGTTTAAAAAAAACACAGATGGATGAGGAACTTTCAGTCTGAGGAAGAGGTTTTAAGATACAGCTTTGATACTGAGGGAAGAGTCGTCCTCTCTCCTCCTTCCTCTCTCCTCCTTCCTCTCTCCTCCTTCCTCTCCTCTAGGAGTGACATGGCTTTTCTTGGAGTTCTGTTGTGACCTGAAAGCTTTGTGAGAACTGGACCAAAGACCCCAATGACTTGTAACGAGGCTTCAGAGATGACTGCAACAATCTTCTTCAGACTGAAATCTGAAAATTTGTCATAAATCGGTTTTATTTTGTTATTATTGCAAAGGTTTTTATGTTTTAATTTTGGGTTTTAAATTCTGGTCTTCCTGCTGTCACTGCGCCTCCTGCTCTTCTGATTTGTCTGTTTGTTTTTATACAGTTGTCAGTTGTTAATATGTTCAATGTAAATGAGGGCTTTTTTTTATTTTTTAATAACTGCAAATAAAATTATGCAAGACATTTGATTGTCTCTGATATATTTACGCTTCGCACTAATATTTAAATGTCTCTTAACCGCCTGAACTATTATAATTTATAGCTATCCCACCCATGGTTATTATACATCCATGATGGGCACAGGGGGCGCTGTGGTACTGCAGACCAGGAGCTCTGAGCTGCAGTGGACTATGTTGATCGGGTGTCCGCACTAAGTTCGGTATCGATATGGTGCTCCTGGGGGAGCCCGGGACCACCAGGTCGTCTAAGGAGGGGTGCACCGGCCCAGGTCGGAAACGGAGCAGGTCAAAGCCCCCGTGCCGCTCAGTAGTGGGATCGCGCCTGTGAATAGACGCTGTAGTGCAGCCTGAGTAATACAGCTTGACACAGCCTTTTTATCCTCCTCCTTTTTTCACACAGTCTCCTGGGACTGCTCTTGCACTGTTTTATGCAATAATTTGAGACCATTTTCTTTCTTTTCTTCCTTTGACTCTAGTATGTTTTTCCTGTCCTACACTGCCCCCTTCTGGACGCCACCTTGTACTGAATCACACTTTAGTGAACCACAGAAGGAAAAGAGATGTTGACAGATATAAGGAAATGGTTTATTTTCCATTATAAAACCAAGAAGTTTTCATTACAAATGACAATTACCATCCAGAGTTAGTTTTTCCAAACAAAAGTACAAGGTAAAATGAAAATGAAATTCGTCCACACCATCACTACATTAGAGGCCCATGATTATGATTTGATGTCATCGATCACAGAGAAAATGGAATTGTTACATATTTCACATCGTTTCCATTGGATGAACTTGTGATGGACAAATAAGACTCTCCCACAAGGAAAGAACACAGTGTGTGTTGTTGACAAAGAAATACTCAAACTACACACTTTCTGATATCGACTGTTTGCAGTTTGAGCATAGATAAAAGACAGTTTCCCGCTCTGTAACTCTGGTTGTTATATGCCCTGCAAAAACATGAACGTTTATTAATAAAATGGAATGGAATGAAAATTGGTATGAAAGAAAATGACAAATGATTGAACATTATAGTTTCATTATTGATCATTGTGGGGTGTAGGGAGTTCTTTTGTCCAAAGGAGGGCGACAAAGGCCAATCAAACAAGTAAAACCCAACGTTTGTAATTAAAGCGATTGTCTGGAGTTTGTCAGAAAGAGAGACAGAGAGGTACTTGATTTGAAAAAAAACGACGCAAGCTCCCTCCACATGCACGGAGGTTTTCAGAATTATTTGTGAACGTTTTAATGAAAAAAAATGTTTTTATGCACACAAAAAAGCGATCGCGGCAAACCAGGAAGACCGAGGTGAAGTTGGCCGAACGTTTGATATTCGCCTGATATTCGCAAGGGACCGTCTGCAAATTGCAAGAGGTCAAAATGACTAATAAAGACTAAAAATCAACAAAGATCTTTTTCCCAGATTTGATGGGTGTAGTAGCTCCATTTGAACAATAGCTAGTTACTACAGGCAAGAATTTGGGAAAAATATTGTTTTCCCCTTCACAGCAACAAAAATGAAATTGGAAAAATTCACTAAAAATCAACAAAGACTTTTTTCCCAGATTTGATGGGTGTAGTAGCTCCATTTGGACAATAGCTAGCTACTACAGGCAAGAATTTGGGAAAAATATTGTTTTCCCCTTCACAGCAACAAAAATGAAATTGGAAAAATTCACTAAAAATCAACAAATTTGCTAAAATGTTTTGATACATTAGAAAAATCTCTCTTGAATTGTAGAAGTGAATAAATATAGATTGATTGAATGAATGAATAAGTCACATATATTATGCAGCGGTGGCTCTGAATGAAGCGTCTGCAGCGTCTTGGACGCAGCCTGGCTCGGGGTAGAAGTGCGCATTGAAAGCGCTGTACACTTCAGAGAGCGTTTGCGGTCCAGATTTCACAAAGAAACTCTGGGGCCAAAACTTTTGCACATGTGGCGCGACCTCTCACGGCACTCGCTGCGCACTCTGGACAGGTCAGTGAGACATTTGTGAGTGAGCAATACCATCGATGCGTTATTGGTGTGTGTGTCTGTGTGAGGCTTACACAAATCTAATGAAATAACACATTGCTTTAGATGTGAATGAGGAATACAAATAGCCGTGCGTAATTACGCAGCAATTATGCGAGCATCAGCGCCGATGATTAAAATCACGAGGGCTACCCAGAAAACAGTCCCATAGAACTCAATGTAAACTAAAAAGGCTCGACCTCAGCTGACAGAGAACCTACAGCTTTCATAAAGATCAGATTTTGTTCCCTTGTAATCTGGAACTTATTTTCTTAAATCCTTCAGTGTTCTTTAAATAAACACTTTACTGCCACAAACGCTGCTCCTTTCCTTCCCGCTCAATCAGAGCAGCTCTGATTTGTCAGAGCGCGGCCAAGCCCCTCTGTGCACTTGCATGAGAGCCACACACGCGTATTTGGCGCAACCAAGCCCCGGGGATCCAAGATGGCGCCATATTTAAATGAATGGTTGGGCTCAGTGGCGCTTTGTGACGGCATGGGGGCTGGAAGATTAGCGGAAGTCGCCTGGAACTCGCAAAGATCTATGGGAAACTCGCCTGTATTTGGGCATCGTCTGGTCCTCCTGGTTCTGCACAGTGGATGATCTCCCATAATGCGTTGCGCCAAACACGCGTGTGTGGGTCTCACACTGGTCACACCAGGTCTCACGCACGTGCACAGAGGGGCTCGGCCGTGCTCTGACCAATCAGAGCAGGTCATCACAGCGGGAGTTAGAGCGAGAGCCAGACGGGCAGAGTTTGTGGCACTAACTAAAGTGTGGATTTAAAGAAAATTGAAGGATTTGGACTGCCACCTTAACGTGGTGGGGGAGTTTGAGTACTCGGATGATCCTGGGAATCAAGAGCTGTCTGGGGCTTCATGCCCCTGGTAGGGCCTCCCATGGCAGACAGGTCTCAGGTGACGAGTCAGACGAAGAGCGGTCCAAAAACCACCATGGACAGCACAATAAATAGACCAGTGACGTCGCCCGGCATGGCGCAGCCGGGGCCCCACCCTGGAGCCAGGCCTGGGGTCGAGGCTCGTATGCGAGCGCCTGGTGGCCGGGCCTTAGCCCACGGGGCCCGGCCGGGATGACGTGGGCAGTCCCTCCTGTGGGCCCACCACCTGCAGAGAGGTCCGTGGTGGCACGGTGCTGAGAGGACTGGGCGGCAGTCGAAGGCGGAGACCTCGGCGACCCAGTCCGCACACACAACATCTGGCTCTTGGGACGTGGAACGTCACCTCACTGGGGGGGAAGGAGCCCGAGCTCGTGGGGGAGGTTGAGCGATACCGAGTAGAGATAGTCGGCCTCACCTCCACACACAGCTTGGGCTCTGGAACCCAACTCCTTGA